ACGAAACACAAAAACAGGCTTGCGAGGGAGAGGAGGAATCGGATGAGGAGGAGGAGGTTGGGAAAGGCGAGCAATCATGCCAGATGCCTCTTTCCGGAATTCGTTCGATAGTTTGTTGGGGTCCTCTTGGGGCGTTTTGGGGGCCTCTTGGCAGTCCATGGGGCGCCTTGGGGCGTCGTGAGTGTTTCTGGAGGGCCTCTTGGAGCCTCTTGGGGATCTATGGGGAGCCTTTGGGGGGCCATATTGGGGGCATCGTTGGGGCCTCTTGGCGCCTCCTGGGCACGTGTTGGGGCCGTCTCGGGGCACCATTGGGGGCCCCGTGGGCCATCTTGAGGTCATGTTGGCAAACATCGATCAAAGACGGGCCGCACTCAAATACAACCCCCCCCGCCCGCGCGAGGTCAACATGTGGCCAAAACCTTGGTGACATCAGTGATGTTGGTTTCCTCGCCGAGGCCGTTTTGGACGCTCTAACCCTTCGCGGCCTTCACCTCCAGGTCCAAAAAGAGGGGGTAGAGGGGAGGGACTAACCCGTCCCCGAATGGGAAGGAGGGGCGTTGGAAGAGGAAACTCTCAAAACCACTCACGCTGTAAAGGGCTGGTGGGATTTGTGGGAACAGTCTGGTGGGAATGATTGGTTTTGAGTTGGAGGTGAAGGAGGAGGAACACCAGGAGTGATTAATGATGGCGCGCAAAGCACGTCAGTACGCTCTCATGTTTTGTGGGCGTCTGCATGGGTGTCTTGAGTTGGCCGTGTGGCAGAACCGTGCCGTCCTGGCTTGCTTGCGCACGCGCGAGTGCAATGGCGATTGTAGCACGTTGCCTTCGGGATCTGAAGTTGCGGGGTGAGACGTAAGTGACATGGAGACCCCCAACCGAAAAATCTGTTTCGGTTTCGTGTTCGTGCCGTGCGTGCGGGCGAGGCGAAGTTGCGTGGGCGGGCGAGCGGAATGAACCCGCTGTGGCTAGAGCGAAATTGGGCCAAATGATACTGCGCTCTTCCAGTTTGCCGGCGGTGGCCCGGGATGGTGTCCTGGTGGCCTTGGGGTCTCCCGATGGTATCCCGATGGTGTCTCGATGGTATCCCCATGGTGTTCCGATGGTGTCCCGATGGTGCCCCGATGGTGTCTCGATGGTGTCCACATGGCGTCTCGATGGTGTGCCCATGGTGTCGACATGGGTTCCACATGGTGAGGGAACACTCATCTGCATGCTCACATGTTCCTCTCACACGGGTTCACATGTGGCAAATTCTTCCGCGTAGAACACGTTGGAGGTCCACGCGGAGGTGACGGCACTCGGAGAAAGAAAAACTTCCAAAATTGCATTCTTCGGAGGTCCGCGCGGATTATTTGGATCGGCGCTGAGCCCCCCAGCGGCGACTCTGGCACCGGTCCTGGCGCGCTCCGCGCACCAGGGAGGGGGGTCCAGCGCCGATCCAAGAAAACCGATCGGACCTCCGAAAATTCATGTTTACGCCTTTCTTGTTTTGATTATCTAGGCGCATGCCAATCTGGCAAGCGGGAGTGCCACCAGTGATTCGTGCATGTGGCGCTGCGTCCAATCGGAGAGGGGTGATTCGTGAACGGAGTTTAGGGGCGGTCCCATTCCTCCGACTGCGAATTTTGTCGACGTGGGCCTTTGGAGGTCTGGACCCCCTCCGCAGTGCCAGCTTCCTATCCCGAGCCGCTTTTTGACGCCCCCCCGGGCCCGGCAAGGGCACCTGAAGGCCCCAAATGATCCCAAACTTGGAGCCATTTTGAACCATGAAACATGTTTCTGTTGCAGTTGTTTGTTTTTTGAAGCGCGAGGGGGCCTGGGGCGAGGAGGGGCGTTTGCAGCCGCGCGTTCGAGGGTCTGCAACGCGCGCGCCCGAGCGCCGCCGCGCCCGCGAGGAGGGCGAGCGCAACTGCAGCGCCTGCTTCGCGCAGCTTGGCAAGAGGCGGGCGCCACACCCTAGCGCATGCGTGCGGTCAGGCTCTTTTGCCACTCCTCTCGGCGGCGCGCCCAGGGGAGAAGGCAGAAGGGGGCGGATCGTCGCAGAAGGCTCAGAAGGCCTTCGACTTTCTGGGACGCTTCCTGCGCCTTCTCCCAAGCCGCGGAGGGTTCCTCGGAAGGCCGGAGGGCTTCTGAGAAACTCCGCCGCTTTTGAGAGGGCCCGCCCCCTCTTTTCCCCCCATGCGCGCCGCCAATCCTCCTCTCGAGGATAACTTGTCATCGTCAGCACAAACTTTCGAAGGTCCGCGCAGACTTCCTGGGCCGGCGCTGGGCGCTCCTGGCAGCGCATCCAGCGCCGCCCCCGGCGCACTCCGCGCGCCAGTGAGGGGGGTCAGCGCCGACCCAAGAAATCCGCCTGGACCTTTAGTGGGTTTTGTTTATGCAGTTTTTTCCTCGTCGATCCTCCCCTTAGAGGGGCAAGAGCTCATGAGACTGATGCGTTTCAGGATGTAGAACGTTTCAAAGATGTCATAGTTGTTCCGCACGGCCTTTGGAAGCGACGTTCCCCGGGACTGACTTGTTTGAACAAGTTGTATCATGCCATCGTTCTCGTCATATCTCCAGGCCACCTCGCGCAGTGGAAGAATCAGGGCTCCAGGTTTTTGGGTTTCGGTCTCTGACTCTGGGGGCCATTTGCAGATCTTGCCCCGCGGAACGTAGACCTCCAGAGCCCACGTTGCGAAAACAAAATGTCGCCGAGCGTCTAGGCCCTCTCCTCCGCTCTTCTCCCGTTCGAGGTTCCATGTTGTGGACTTGTTTGGCTGTTTTTGAAGACCTCTGGAGACCTGCTGCGTGCGCGACTGGCGAGGGAGGGCTTGGGGAGACTGGGGACTTCTTTCTAACCTTCACTCTTCGCTTCGGGGCGGAGGCACGGAGAGGGTGGATGGGGAAGAGGGTGTTTGGGGGACACGGGTGACGAGAGGCCGGGGAGGAAGGGGGGCGTGCAGTGTCGGGTGTAGTGCGTGTGCAGTGGATTACGATTCCGCTACGGCGCGCTCCCTTTCCGCAACGAATCGCTTCCTGATCTGGCCCTTCTCCGTTTTGTCTCAGGGATCGACATTCGGTCCGTACCCCTGCCGCTGCCCCCACTCTGGCTGCCGGGGGGGGCATGGCATTGACAAAAAAACTCTGCCTCTAGAGCCTGTATTTGTATCCATGCCCCCGCCCCGCCCCTTCGTAGAGCTCTGGTGTAAGAAGGGACATAGATAAGATGTCGATCGCCTATTTTTCCGGGTGATACTTTCCGTTTCCGTGTTCGCGTGCTTGTTTCTCGTGGATCGTCTCCCCCCACCCCACACACCCGCGGTTTCTGGGGACTCGTCGTTTCCATTGCGGTGGTTCGTGTCGTAGGCCAGGGGGGGAAGCAGAAACGGAGGCGGAGGAAAAGGAGGAGCAAGTGGAGGTCGCTTCAAAGCAGCTGTTTTGCGGGAAGTGGGATCGGCCGAAGGCGTTTCGGAGTCCGACTTCGGGGACCAGTTTTTAGTTTATGGCCCCCAGTTCGACAGTCTCATGCTTGTAGCATCGACGTACAGCTTGTTACCGCGAACTGCAAAGCGAAGCCAAGGCGAGTAACGTGAGGTGTATGAATTGGACAAGTTGTTGGAGGAGGAGGAGGAGGAGGTGGAGGAAGGGAGGAGGAGGAATGGAATGGAATGGACCAATCGCGAAGCGATGAAACGTGGAACGAGGAAACAGAGGACGCGCACGGCCACGAGGGGTGTGACCCAATTCACAGGAACATGCAAAGAGGGACAGGCGGGCTAGACGGGGAAAGCGGGGTCCTCCTCTAGACCCTCGCCCCGTCGCCGCCTGTCCTCGAGCTCCGCGCCGAGCATCTCGAGCTCGGCGCGCGTGAGGCCGACCAGCTCCAAACCTCTCTGAAGGTCGGCTGCTGGCCCCTCGCGACGCGATGTGGCAGCGCAGTCCACATAGAGCGAGACATTGGGGGAGAGGACCGATCTGCGAGAAAGCATTAGCACAGCAAAATCTTCACCGTCACGTGCTTGTTGTTCCGGCGCTTCCCCGAACGGCACAACACCGAACAGGGCGGCCAAGGTTCTGCCTTGGCTGTCAAGCACCACAACAGCCCACCCCGCGGTCCCAAGGCCAGTAAGCTTCCCCTCAAATCCCGACCCGTCAGTGAAAACGTGCGCCCCCTCGGGTATGAACAGGGGGCCGTCCTGAGGCCACTGGAAGTGACGCGTGCACGGATTCAGCGGGTCGCGAGGGGGTCGCTTCACCCAGGCCGCAGGGTTGGGAAACAAACATCTACTGAAGAGTTCTCCAGCTGGAGTCGGGAGATGGCCAACATTCCGAGCAGCCCTGGCAACCAAAGGATCCAGGTTCTCACGGCGCCACTGTTCGAACGCAATGCAACTGAAACGCCGATGGTGCAAAGTGCCACGGCCATCTCTGCACAGCTGACATTCACAGGTGGCCTCTGGACTGTGTTCAAACACTCTGTGCTGGCACCAATACACATTCGCCACCAGCGCCGAGAGCGCGGCCTTGTGCGATTTCGTCCACACCTCGGACCCCTTTCGCCCCAGAAGCTGGTGAATGGGCTGCCAAAAAACGGGCCCACTCCACAGACCAAAATCAAACTGCTTTAGCTGTTCTTCTTTCTCGATGGCCCTAACCACCGAGCCACGCAAGAGGTGAGAGAAAAACTTGGGCGAGAAGCGCTCAATCGACCACTCTCTCTGGAGGTCATCAACAAGGGCCATCTTCGAAAACTCGAAGGACCATCGGACCCGAGAGAACTGCAGGAAAAGCGCTGCGACAGGCTGACGAACCTGGTTCCATGGGGCCTGGCCCTTCTGAACAGCAAGAGCGTCCTGGACACAAGACTCTAAAACAGCTTTCGAGATGGACTTGGCCCACCAAACTCCAACGAATTCCTTTACAGCCGACACCACCGTCACCAGAAGCGGGTCCCTGAGCCAGAGTCGGGAGGAGGAGAGGAACCTGAACCCCAGGGAGGTCCCAGGAAGGAGAGGTCCCCAGGATCTCGCGGCTTGGACCCGAAGCTTGTGGAGGGTGGTCGGCGGGATCCCCAAAATTTGGGACCCCCACGTTGCTTTGGCCAACGGTCCAACTCGATGGACACGACTATGTTTCTCACTCTGCCCGAGTTTGCGTAGCGCTACCCCCGTGCTGCGGGCGGCCGCAAGCCTCGACGCCTGCGTGCCGACTCTCCGAGCTCTGCCGTCGAGCGAGTCGCCGCCGAGGTCGCGGTGGGAGGTGACCAGCGTGTCGTCTGCGAGCTTCCACCTTGGATCCTGTACCAACTCAGGCAGCTGGCTGCGGTCAGACATCATAAACTTGGTCTTCTCCCAATTGATAGGCAGCTTCCTCGACTCCAACTCTGATGTGACAATCTCGAAGCTGGCAATAGTATTCGCAATAACTGTCTTGGGACCACCGATGGTGTGCGTCGTCCAATCATCCACCACGTTCAGCGCTCGGCACGGAGGAGTCTCTTCTGCCAGTATCTTGAGAAGGCACAGCGTCATCAGCTTCGACACTCCTGTGGCTGCGCTACAGCCTGCAACGATCGTACCATTTGGATGGCTGACTCTGCTAGTGCCTCCTGTCCATCTGGCTCTTCTCGGCGCACGGTACAGGCAGCACAACGCCCTGAGCAAGGCTCAGTCGAAGCTGTAGTGCTCTGTTGCTTCTCGCAGTTGCTGTTGGCTAACGTTCTCGTAGAACTTGCGGATGTCATAATATACCGTGATTGCTGACAATCCTTTCCGTCTGGCGTGGCAGGCCAACATGTTATGCTGGTATGCCGCCTTGCCACAGCTGGTGGCCGCATTCTTTCCCCAGAAGAACTGGGCATCCACAGACTCTTCCCACCTCTTGACATACTGCCTCCTGCATCGACTCCAAATCCGTGCCCAGAAGCAGAGTAGACATCTGGGCCTGGCCATCTCATCTAGCTTTGGAAGGAAAACATTGATCGTAACCCACATACGTTCACAGTGTGGTTCGCGTTCCCAACACGTGAGAATCTCTTGCAGCCTCCTCACAAATGCACCATCCAGGAATCGTACGAGCCTCATGTGGAAATTGTCCCAGCCAGGCCCTATGGAGGGTCCGAAGGAGCGGCACACTTGCACGATCTGGTCCACCGTAATGGGGTCGAGCTTCCAGGGATATCTCCAGTTCGATGGCACCTCCTCTTGGGCCCTGTCATCCGAGATCCACAACTCTTCCCATTCCTCAAGTACCGCAGTGATTGCCGCCGCTCCCACCAACCCATGAGGCTGACCCTTAGTCAAGGCGGGCGCTTCCTCTAGACGCTTGGGCCGAGCAATCGCATGCGCCAGCTTCCCAGAGCCATCTGCTGCAAACTCGCCAAACTCACGCCAAGCGTTGCTCCTGGCTTGGGAATCCTTGCGCCTGCGTTCTTCTACTTCGTCCACGAGGACAGGTCGAAACCAGGCTGCCAGCCGGCATCCTCGCTTTGCCAGGGCAACCCACTTCTGGACATCCTTCGCCTTCAGGGAGGGTGAGTCCGAGATGGCCTCAGGGAGCTCCAGGGCTAGCAGCTGCCTCTCGCACCTCTCGGAGTGCTCAGGTCGCCTTCCTTTCGACCCCGTCGGAGCTGAGGACGCCACGCAGAGGGCATCCCCCTGCCGATGTACGTTCTTCTATCCGAGAGCGGTATCTCGAACAACTGCACTAGGTACTTCTCGGCGGCTTTGAACCACAACGCTGCGGCGTCCTCCACTGAGTCGAAGGGGGCATCCAGCTGCCACTCCTCCAGCACCTTCACCGAGGGAGGCGCTCCCACTTGGGTGAGATCCACTGCTTTGGCACCATTGTTCTTCACCCAGGCTTTCCGCTTCTCCTCTTGCATCGCCGATGGGAAGGCTCTCGGCGGCGCCTCCACCCAGACGAAGGGCTCGTCTCTCAGGCCGTCAAGCTTGATCTCCACATAGCAGTGAGGCGAGATGGGCGCGTCAACTCTCGCTTCCACCGTCATCGGGAAGGCGTCTAGGGCCTGGGAGCCGATGAAATAGTCGTACTCCTTCCCATTGCACGTTGGACACCCAGGTGCGAAGATGGTCGCCGTTGCCAAATCTAGCCAGCCCAACTCCATGATTTCCTCTGGCTCTAGGTCCCAGTCTCCTCCCAAGAGGAAGGGGAAGCGCTGCGCCCCCAGAAAAGCACTTAGGAACCCCAGCAGCTCGAGGTTCTCACCCTTGGGTCCAATCGAGTCGACCCCGTAGACCGAACCGATGATGATCCAGTCATGGGTTCCCAGGGTCATGAGCCTCATCACCACACGATGCTGCCATTTCTCAGGTATATGTAACTTGGCCACTCCAATACCCAGCGCTGCGGAGAGGCCCACCCCCGTTGAGAGGGACCTGGCCGACTCCCCTGTGCGCCTGGCCGTGCCATGAGCCAACTTCCGAGAACAGCTTCGAGTCCATTGATGCGCGCCAGCCTCTGCCGTGGGATCCAGCACCGTCTCCTGAATACACAGCACGTGGGGCATCTGGCACTGCTTCTCAATCCATGGCATAGTACTGCGGGCTCTGGGCCAAGTATTCGCATTTAGAGTGCCAATTCTGAATGTCCCTCCTGCTCCAACTTCCTCAGGCGGAAGGCCAGGTACGTGCTTGGGCGCACCTGATGCATGTGACTCGCAACTCTCTCTTGGTTGAGGTGGGTTCGAGGAGCACCCACCAGCGGCGTTGTGACAGTCCGTAGACGGGGTCTTCTGATTCAGCATCGGCGAGGATCGAGACCTAGCAAGTGGCGACGCAGCCTGGGGTAACGACGTCGGCAGCAGCCTGTCGCCCCCAGGACTTTGCGATCTAACGCCAGCTTCAGGCGATTGTCCCCGACTGACACTGGGTGGAGGGCCCGAGGAGCACCCACCACTTGCGTTCTGACTTGGCGACACCTCCGCAGACTGCGAAGGCCCCCCCCCAACGTTCTTATCAATTCCAAGAAAAGGTTTGGACGAGACAGCCAACCCGCTAGGGACGGCAGCATTCTGACTAGGCGTCGAATGAAGAGATTCCACTTCCTCACAATTTAACTCAGAGGGGGCCAGGCTCGAGGCGCACCTGGCTCCCAATCCGGCAAAGCTGGTAGACGCCGCCCTCGGAGCCGACCCCGACACCGATGCACCAGGAGTTGCCGTGGACTGTGACGACAACGCAATCGTAGTAGACGGCCTCGACGATCCACAGTTGGTGATCGACGATGTCGTCGGCACAGCCTCCTCCAGCGGGTACCCTAGCCGAGAACTCGCACCTGCCGCCAGGCTGGCGGTTTCACACATATTGGGAATCGCCTTCTCAGGAGAGCTCGCGCCAATCGAAGTCCAGGTGCTGCAAGGCGCCGAACTCGACCCTGTCGTCCCTGGCGCTGTCGAGTCGTCGTACTGGCTAAAGCCCCGACCGCTCGGCAGCTTGAACACCAGCATCAGCAGATACACGAGAACGAATATCCATCTTTGGGATGCCTTATCATCGGCATCTGGCGGCGTCGCAGCCTTGGCCCCAGCGGACGACGCTGCCTGGCTTGACGCAGACCCCGCCTCTTGTCCTCCATCGGTCGGTGGATCGCCTTCCGTGCCAGGCTCGGTGCGCCTCCGCTTGGCCTGGAGGCGCTTGATGTGCTCCTTATGTTGCTCCTGGCAGGCATTGGCCTTGTCCAGCGCCTGCCGAACGACATTGCCCAGCACCTCCTGCATTTGCTTGGCTGATTCGTTCTTGCGGTCCTCCAGCTCGCGCAGGTCCTCTTCGGAGACCTCATAACTGCCTTTGGCCGCCTCCACATCGATGAAGTCGTCCAGCGAGATAATCGAAACCAACTCCATATCACCGTCAATATGCTTGCGAAGGCTGACGAGGGGCTGAGCATCTCCCTTGTTGGTCGGCGCCACTCGGTGCTGATTCTGGAGCTCCGCCAAGGTGGCTGCCACTTGAGCGTCGGCCCTCTGCAGGTCCTCTGCTAGCTCCTTGACGGTCCAAGCCAGCTCTTCGGTTGCCGATCTCCAGCGCTGCAACTTCTCGTATTCACTGTTGAGCTTCTTCTCAAGCTTCTCCTGCTTCTGCTCAGCTTCGATGAGGCGCTGGCGTCCCGACGGCTTCGGGGGCGGGGCTGCTCTCTGCGCCAGTGCACCATAGCGCGCGGCCCCCACCGAATTGCCAGCTTCTTGAGCCATACGCTGCAGCTCGAGCGCCTTGGCCTGGGGAATCTCGGGGACGGGGCCTGGAGGTCATGCAGAGGAGCGACCACCTGAACCTTTGCCCCCTGGAGAAGGATCGCCTCTGAAGCCCTTCTTGCCATTCTTGCCCTTTCCCACTCCTTTGCCCGCATCATCCCTGGACTGCGAGGCCGACTGGTTGTCCACGAGAGATTGGGGGCGAGATCCGAGCTTCTGGCCACAATGCTTGCAGAACATCGCTCCTCTGGAGTTCTTGCGGCAACCACAGTGGTGACAGAGAATTTCTCCTTTGGGACTTGCCACCGTCTTCCAGTCATCATTGTGCATAGCATACTGATCGTCCCATTTGTCCCACTTGGCCGCGGTGCCACCTCCGTCGGGAATGCTGCCCCCCCAACGACGGCGGCGTCCTGCTTGCACCCATGGGCGACGTTCCCACTCACCACCAGCCCCGGTACAAACCATGGCACACGGGGAAGGAATGGGATCCTGGAGGCGAGTGAACCCCTCGTCCGAGGGACCTCCGTGAGAATTGATAGCTGCCGCGGACTAGCGGTATCCAGTTTTGCCAATGCGGGCTCAGCCCGCCAAAGCATCAGTCTTGAGCCAAAATGGCTACGGAGGAGGAAACAGAGGAGGAGGAGGAGGAGGAGGAGGAGGAGGAGGAGGTGGAGGAATGGTGGGAGGCAGAGACGGGCGGGCTTGCCAGCTTGGATGCAGGGCTCCTTCCGACAGTGAAGAGTCCTCACTGGCACCCCTCCCAGGCATCTCCGACGTCGATACCGCTGCGAGCTTTGCGGACAGGCCCGGCTTGGTCTCGGAGAGCTTAGTTGAGTAGGTGTTGGAAGAGGAATCAGAGGAACATTATACTGCGAAGGAGGATGGAGTTGGGTGATGAGATACATGATGATGTTCATGATGATGATGATGATGTGTTCTTGTTGATAGTGATGATGTTGCTGCTGCTGCTGATGATGATGGTGTTGGTGATGATGATTCTGATGACGACGATGATGATAATGATGATGAGGAGGAAGAGGACAAACGGGATGAGGATGCTGAGGAGGGAAGGATACGCATGATGCCGACGACGATGATGATGATGATGATGATGATGATGATGATGATGATGATGATGATGCTGATGATGCTGATGATGATGATGCTGATGATTATGACGATCGTGGTGGTGGTGGATGATGATGGCGTTGATGATGGTGATGATGACGACGATGATGATGCTGATGATGAGGACGATGATGATGAGGCTAATGCTGATGATGTTGTTGTTGCTTGTGTTTTTGCTGCTGCTGTTGTTGTTGAATGCTCATATTTAGAGAATTATAATTGTTGATCTCTGGAAACGGTTCCAGACGCTCTCGCCTCGACGCCGGCTACATTTTCTCTGAAAACGAGGCTCCCGCTCGAGCGTTGGCTTGAACCGAAAAGTGCGCCCTTGGAGGCCCAGCTACGACAACAACGGCTCCCGCTCGATACTTCCTCGCAGTTTACGTCGAGACACCTTGGCCCGAGAGGCCTTCGAACTCAGGAACGGCGCTCTCGCTCGAGACTTCCTCGCGAATCAATCAAGTTGGCGGGGGTCCAAGCCCCCAACACACAACCCACTGCATGAGGCCCAGAGAAGGCCCACAGGGACCGGAGCATGCTGCCCGCAGGCCCTCCGGCACAGCCCACATAGGCGCCAAGCGCGCCCACAGAGGCTTCCCCGCGCTGCCCACAGAGGCCCCAAGCGCGCCCACAGAGGGCCCATCGCGCTGCCCACTGAGGCCCCCGACACCCAGAGGCTCCAAGCGCGCCCACAGAGGCCCCGAGCGCGCCCGCAGAAGCCCCCGCGCGCTGTCCAATGAGGCCCTCCGGCACAGCCCACAGAAGCCCAACCCCCCGCCCCAAGCGTGCCCACGGAGGCCCCAACGCGCTGCCCACGGAGGCCCCCCGTTCCACAGAGGCCCCCGACACAGCCCACAGAGGCCCCGAGCGCGCCCACAGAGGCCCCCGCGCGCTGCCCACAGAGGCCCTCCAGCACAGCCCACAGGCCCCAAGCGCGCCCACAGAGGCCCCAGCCCGCAGAGGCCCCGAGCGCGCCCGCAGAAGCTCCCGCGCGCTGCCCACTGAGGCCCCCGACGCAGCGCACAGAGGCCCCGAGCGTGCCCACGGAGGCTCCAGCGCGCTGTCCACTGAGGCCCCGACTTTCTACAGAGGCCCCACACGCGCCCGCAGATATTCCCGCTTACAGAGGCACCAAGCGCGCCGAGGCCCCCGCAGGCTGCCCACTGAAGCCCTCTGGCACAGCCCACAGACCCGCGCCTGGAGCAGTACCCTGAACCGCTACATCACAGACTCTTCAACCCATCCTCCAACGACGACACTGCCTCCTCGACGTCAAGTACGTCGCGCGGACACGCAGAGACCCAGGCGACTGCACGACGCCCCGACGACTGACATACCCAAGAGTCTCCGAATCACGAGTGACCTACTTTCAGACACTAGTTGTTCGCCTTCGTCCGCGCGGCACTTCGACTTGGCGAAAGCAACAGGGGCTGGCGGCGCAAGCTGCCCCGCCCCCCCTCGCGGGCCGCCGCGGAGCTGAGCAGGCAGGGCAGCGCGCGCTGGGCCGAGCGCGAGGGGCAACACCTGCTACGCGAAGAAATCTGATCTGATCTTCCAGTTCGGGCCCGCGACGACTGCGCGCAACATGTTCGCGCGCCGCTGCCGCGGGCCCGCTGGCCAGACCTGCGAAGCGTCGCGACTGTCGGGGAAGGAAGCCGCACTCATTGATCCACGGTCAAGTGCAACGAAAATTCTGCCCTTGATCCCGCCACGTTGGGGGGTGCTCTGGCACTGACAATGTCATGGGCTTGCCGCGCAGATGCGCCGCAGTGCTCGAGCCGGCGCGAAGCGCCGATCGAATGGGCTCCAGAGTCGGCGATATCGTCGCTCTCCATGGGCCGACGCGCGTTTGCAATGACTTCACCTCGGCGAGCCGCCCCGCGACTTCAGGCGGTGCATCTTGAAATGTGTTGCAGTCGTTACCGCGAAGACGACGGTTATGATCTTATTTGGCGAGCCGCGATGGGGTGCGGCAGTAGGTCACTGACCACTGCGGCTGGAGCCATCTGCGAGCCGAGTAGACTCGCACTGACTGCAACGCGCCCGGACCAGGCGCCGTTTAAGAGGAGCCCGCGGTATGAAGTGGCGAGGAAGAGCCAACGGACGAGTTGCGGCAGGTGCAAGTCGAAGCCGACGCAGAAGCCGCCAAAGAAAGCGACGAGCAGTTGCTTTCGGCGCGGCTCCAAGCCTGGTTGATTTGAGGCCGGTCGCAATGCGATGCAAGACGGCCCCAGCGCCATCGCGCGGCCAGGAATGTGAAAATCTAGCGATGGTCGCGAGCTTGCACATTGCGAGCATCAAATGTTCAGGTGACCCTTGTAAATGTCCACAGCGGACCAATGACGTTTGACAATGCGACGTAGGTCGTCTGAAACCACGCACAAAACTGCATGTTGCCCTTGTGGGTGAAGTGATAGGCGAAGGAATGTTTGACGCGATACGCTTCGACATCCGCAAGGGCTTCGCCCCCTGCCGCCGGCCCCTTCTCTATCATACAAGGACATGTCAGAGTCGCGTCGGTGCGTCTCGTCGCTGCCTCGGCGCATCTGGGAACATCGTGCGGGGGCGGCGGATGGTTATCATCGGCGCGTATTGAGATGTTGGCGTTATCGAAGACGCCTACGGCGAATCACCGCCGCCCCCTGCCTTTTTGGAGACGCCGATGTGGCCGAAAGTTGGATTAGAGCTTGGCCAAGCTATCGGACCATGAGTTCCCCGAGTCGGTTTGGAAAGCTTTCGGGGAACACATGGGAGAGAATGATTATGAACAGGAAGAGGAAGAGGAAGAAATAGAGTAGGAGGATGAGGGTTGTTAGGAGTCTCTTGGGGCACCCTTGGGGTCTGTTGGGGGCTTCTTGGGGGCCTCTTCGAGGCCTCTTGGAGGCATCTTGGGGGCCTCCTTGGGCCTCTTGGGGGCCTTTGGGGGCTTCCTGGGGGTCTCTTTGGCCGTCTTAGGGCGTTCCTGGTCCGTCTGACGCCGTCTGGAGCCGTCTTGGGGGCCTCTCTGGGCCGTCTTGGGGCCCTCTTGGGGCGCTTCAGGGCCGTCTTGGAGGCCATGTTGGGCGTCTTGGAGGCCTCTTGGGCCGTCTTGGGGCGCTCTTGGGGCCGTCTTGGGGGGCCCTTGGGCCGTCATAGGGCCTTCTTGGAGGCCTCTTGGGCGATCTTGGGGGCCTCTTGGGCCGTCGGAAGGCCGAAAAGAAGAAAACGCAAAAAACCTTCAAAAACCTAAGGAAAACCAATGATTTTGGCCTCTTCGGGCTCTCCTGGAGAACGTCTTGGAGGCCTCTTGGGCCATCTTGGAGGCATCTTGGGGCCATCTTGGCCGTCTTGGAGGGCATCTTGGGCCGTCTTGGAGGCATCTTGGAGCCATCTTACCCGTCTTGGAGGCCATCTTGGCCGTCTGGGAGGCATCTTGGAGGCCATCTTGGGCCATCTTGGCCGTCTTGGAGGCCATCTTGGGCCAAGTTGGGGCAACAAAGGCATTGACAGATGGATTTTCGGAAACTTACGGGTGGCCGGCGGGACGGGCCGAAGCCCACTGGGGAGTTCTTTTAGAAAAAAAACCAAAACCAAAACCTGAATCGTCCAGCACGCCGGGCACCCCTGTGGCAAGACCACAGGGGGCGGCGGATCGAAGACGCCTACGGCGAATCACCGCCGCCCCCTGCCTTTTTGGAAGCGCCTATGTGGCCGAACGTTGAGGCCAGACCTGCCAAGCTATCGGACCACGTGTTCCCCGAATCGGTTTGGAAAGCCTTCGGGGAACACGTGGGCATCTTGAAGGTCATCTTGGCCGTCTTGGAGGCCTCTTGGGCAAGCTTTGGGCGATCTTTGGGGCTTTTTGGGCCGTCTCGGGCCAGCTTCGAGCCAACTTCGGCCATCTTGGTGGGTTCCTGGCACGTCTGAAGCCGTCGGAAGCCGTTTGGGGGGCCTCTATGGGCCGACTTGGGGCCCGCTTGGAATGCTCCAGGGCCGTCTTGGAGGCCATCTTGGGCGTCTTGGAGGCCATCTTGGGCGTGTTGGAGGCCTCTTGGGCCCTCTTGGGGCCCTCTAGGGGCCATCTTGGAGGCCACTTGGGCCATCATGGGGCTCTCTTGGGGGCCTCTTGGGCGATCTTGGGGGCTTCTTGGGCCGTCTTGAGCCGTCGGAGAGCCGAAAAGGCGCAAATGCCAAAATCCTTCAAAAACCAAGGGAAAATCAATGATTTTGGCCTCTTCGGACTCTCCTGGAGGACCTCTTGGAGGCCTCTTGGGCCGTCTGGGAGGCCTCTGGGGGGCCTCTTGGGCCGTCTTGGGCCGTCTTGGACTCTCTTGGGCCGTCTTTGGAGGCCGTCTTGGACCATCTCGGGCGGACTTGGAGGCCATCTTGGGCCATCTTCGCGATTTTTTGAGGATGTCCCGAGCGAAACGGCCGTTCTTGGAGGATTTGTTGCGGTCGTTGAGCACGTTTGGGGAAATTCCGGGTGGCCGGCGGGTTCTGCCGGAGCCCACTGGGAAGTTCTTTTGGAAAAAGAACCAAAACCAAAACCTGAAACGTCCAGCACGCCGTGCACCCCTGCAAGCAGGGGGCGGCGGATCTTAATGGCCGTCGGCTCATCCCGCCACCGTGTCTGGCATGTGGGAACGAGGCCTCTTGCATCTGTGTTAAGGTGTCATGGGGGGGCCTCTCGGGGGCCT